ATTAAGAAGAATCTTACTTAATCAGCTGAAAGGGACAGTTCGCTCATCTTAGAAAAGGCATACAGCATGACAAGTAGTAGTGTGATTTGTTACACCTTCTTATTCCTGATTTTTTTAACCCATTACAAGGGGCTTAATTTACTGAAAGACAGACATGGCAAACGAGAAAGCAATTTACTGTATGTGTGACATAATAAGTATATGGTTTGCCAGGAGAACCTCTGAAAGAAAACATGCATGAAAAGCTTGGGTTTATTTCTGTCAGCATACAGCAAAATTGGGTAGCTGCTTTTAAGAAGAGTTCTGAACTAGTAAACTATCATCCCAGGGATTACACATTCTGGGAATAGGAAGTATTCGCAAGCAATCACCTGCTGACTCCTAAAAGCATAGAAACTTGGCAAACAAGCATTTGCTGAAACACTCACTAATGTTCAACTAATGAATGTCACAACCACCTGAAATGCCAGCACTCCCGGGAGTCACACACCTGGCAGATACAACATTTTCCGCTACCCCACAGCGCCAGCCAAGTATTTGGAAAACACAAACACCACTTCCATTCAGACCAAAATGAGATCAAAAGGTGCCCTATCCTTCTCCTGTAATGTAACAAGTACAAGTATCCACCCAACACATGCAACTAGTAAGGAAGGCAGTTCAAACAGTTCCATATATATACTGAAGTCTACACTCCATACACTCCGGAAAAACTTGAGCTTACCAAGATGCTCACTTTGGAAACTTCAAATAGTTTACTGCTTAGGCATCTCAGTCGTCACATAAAAAGCTTCATTATCAGAGTGTGCTATGGCAGATAGCGTGCTAACCATGTTTCTACCAATTCAGCTGTTTCAAGTCATTCCCATGAAGGACAGATGCTGCTTATGGTGTTTTGATCTACTGAGTTACACCTTATATATTTTGAGGCCTAGAACTGCAGATTCTTACATTCTTCTAATCTCATCTGAGAAAATCTATAGGGAGGGAGGAAGAAGCAAGGACGGATTTTTCTTGTTCTTCTTCCCTCCACAGTGGAGAACAGTTATTTAAAAAAAAAAAAAAAAAAGCTGGAGTGGTATCTGGCCTCATAGAAGTCTGTGGGAATTTAAGAGACCTCGGTAAGGCCAGGATTTCATGCTGTGTTTTTCTTCCATGACTGCCACCTCAAATATGCAAACTGTTCCTTTTCCTAAGCACAACAGTATTTATTCAGCATGTATCCTTTATAAAAGGAGGAGACTGGCTGTCTACTTTCATATTCTGATAAAGCTCAAGGTCTAGCAGATAAAAATTCAAGAGAACTTGAGTAAAAGGTGATTAATCCCCAGAGGAAGTGCAACTCAGAATTTTAAACATGTGGGCCCCATGTCCCATATGTTTTATTTACACCCTAGTATTTTACACAAAATAACTTTGCTATAAATAGATGAACTAACAATCAGTATTTCATTTTTAAGCTGGCTTTCCTTTTTTCTTGGGTGGACCTTTGTAGCCTTTGGCCTTTCTTCGCAAGTTTCTCCGATCTACAATGGGTACCTCAATCTCTGCTTCCTCAGAGCTGCTGTCAGCAGCCTGCTCTGCTGTATGCGTGAACTTATCCGTCTGCTCAGACAATTCTTCTGAGGGCTCTTCCAACTGGTTCTTCTGCCCTTCTTGTCCAGAAGGCTGCTGAAAAGGAACACCCTCAATTTCCGAAGAGCTCTGACTCAAGGCAGCAGGGGCCTCCTGTGAGTTGTGCCCTGCTTCCTCATTTTGATCTTCCAGCGAGGAAGCTGTTTTGGGAGATACCTTTTCAGAAACAGCTACTTCAGTAACCACGGAGTTGGGTGGACCATTGCCAGAGGGCTCTTCCTTTGATGCTGAAGCAGCTGTATTTTCAGTGATGGTCTTTTCAAATTCTTCACTGCCCTCCTCTACTAACGTACTTTCATCAGTCAGATCTTCTGACTCATCTGCATTTAAAACCTGCAGGGAGGGGGGCAGGGAGGTGCCAAAACAACCAGAGGGACAATTAACTCAAGATACAAGAGACTGAACAACTACTGCCCCTAACTAGCAACCCTGGAGGCTATTTTGGCATTCATCAGTTTTCAATACTAATTGTACAGTAAGCAAGACAGTCCTTTCCTCCTTCTTGCAAGAGATTATTTTGTGAACTGCATCTGATATCCAGAGCTGCTCTCCTATTTTCAAACTAAAATTATTCAAAGGATTATTCAGGTGCAGTAAAAACGTTCTGAAATTAATCTGAGGGAAAAAAAAAAAGGTTTTGTTTTAGACATTAATTTTGCTAGAATGTAATCTGCTAATTGCTATAAATTGTAATTGCTGTAAATTGCTATAAACAAACACCAGTAAAATCTGTGTTCCTTAAGGGTATTTTTCCAGTAATTAATTGCTTGTACACTTCATTAGGGCAGAATTCATAGAAAAATAAGGATATGAGTTTTCACCCATAACCAACTAATATTTTGGTGAGAAAGAGCTGTTTCATTACTACCAAGGAAAACTGGAGCAATGTATCTTTCTTTTTGGTATCACATGCACATATGCCCCACCACTTCTAAGTACTAAAACAGAAGTGTTAACACATTCTGTTTATGGACTTGTATATTCTCACACAAATTTCATATGATGGTAAGAAATAGCTAGAAAGTAGCCCCTTAACAAAAGAAAACCAGCAATATATGTACACTCCGAAAGAAAAACTGCACATTTTATTTCAAATCTCTCACCTCCTCCGATACAGTGTCTTCTGAAGGTTTTGCCAGAGACTCAAGGATCAATGGATCAAACAGCGTTAAGGGTTCTTCTCCTTGACTCTCAGACTGCACTTTTGATTCACCACTTCCAGCTTCATTGGCTGTTTCCTCTTCAGCCGTAAGTGAGGTCTTACCAGTTTCTTCTGTTACCTCACTGATAAGGGATTCTGATGGAGTTTCCTGGGAAAAAAAGTGGCATTTCTAAGTCAAAAGTATGCCCAGCCACTGCTCCCCAACACTATTGGGTGTATCTGTGATCTAAATCTGCAGCTTAGTGAGAGAATCAGATAGCACCCATTTCTAGGTACAGGAGCTAAGAAGTCAGAGCTTAGTGCAGATTTCACCAGCGTATTAGCTTGGTGTTGTCACCTGCACTACATTTCTGACCATAGCTCACACTGTTAGGAGCAAAGCCAAGCAGTTTTTAGGCATCTCAAGCATCCATGCTGCAGTCTTTCCTTGAACCCAACATGGTCTAAGACCCACTGTCTCACTCATCAGTGAGAACATAAGACCCTGGAGGCATTGCTAGGCACAAAGGGTACTCACAGATTTAAATTCAAGCTGTTAACAATTGGTAGACAAAAGCCGGCAAGCTCTAAGCAGAGAAGAAAAAAGAGCCAACAGAAGTCACTGAAGCATACCAGCTATTGGCTTCTTCAAATAAACTTTTTTTAATTAGAGATACTGGATCTGATCTTGACCTTACTGCAGCTCTCCAGAATACGTGAGTCAGAGAAATAAACTAAGAAAATTAGGTTGGTAGACAAGCTAGAAATTCACCTTACTGAAGATCCTATGAACTCTATTCTTTGAAATAAGTCTAAAGGAATACTCCCTGAATCTAATTCCATGCTAACTTTAGCTTCTCAGATCTACTTCTCCATAAAGCATCGGTATGGAAAAAAAAAAAAAAAAAAATCAAAGAGCTGATAGTCACATGGATCAAGACAGCAAGGACCACATTTTGCAGAAACTGTAGTTGTATTCCAAACTTATCTGCTATAGCTATCACACCAGCTCACCTCCTCACTCCATTTCTCAGGGGATGATACATGTAGCTCCACTTCCGATACAGACTGGCCCTCATTTTCAGCAATCATTTCATCATGCTTCTCAACAGTATTCTCCTCAGGTACTTCTACTAAGGCTCTAGAGCCTTCAGATGTGTGGGCAGGAAGTTCCAGCCTGCAGCAGGTATTAAGAGATATCCTTTGATCTTTTAGATTAATGCATAATTTTGGTGATCTCAGCAAGCAAATTCTTTCATTACTAATTATAAAATGCTGTATCACATTCTCGCCATAGGAAAACTAAATTAATCTAAAAATGGCTAACTCCTCATTAGGAAAAAAAATCAACTAGAAAAATTGCTTTGGCAATTATAAAATGAAGACATCTAACTTCCATTTTATGGGAATAAAAATAAGAAATTTGTTTGTAATTTTGAGTTTAGAAAGCAGTAATCCGTTATGTATATGGAAGCCACAAAAGGGTTAGAAAGCAAGCAACTACTCCCACCCCCACTGCAGTAGTAGTTTAAAATTATGGAGTTACAAAAGCAAGTATGTTTATATAATCCCTGAATAGACACATATTACAAAGACCATGGCTGGAGAAGAATTCAAAGCAATAAACACATCATAGCTGAAGAAGATTCAAACAGCTGAAGATTAAGTTACCCAAAAGCTAAAGATGAAGCTCTGATGCACCTGATGGGTAGTAACACCTCATTCAGTTCTCATTTTTGAGATAAAACTCGGATGAACTGAAGGTATTACATACAAGCAAAGAAAAAAGAACATGCAATCGATTTGCAGGAGGCTGCTTTATGATTTCATAGTAAAGGCAATATTGAAGGCTTTTATCCCAGGTGGCAGTCCTGAGATAAAGTCTCTAGAAAACCCTGCTGCATCCGCTAATGAGCGTGGAAGGAGAGAATCAAGTTGATATCCTGCCCTATTGCCATTAGGATTCCCCTAAGCTCTGCTCACAAACACCATGTTACACATCTTGTACAAAGAAGCAGCAGCACCTTGTTGACTTCATTTTGCAAGGCCCAAAATAGTGGCATTCAGTAACAGGCCAGTCCTCTCGCATACCAACTAGCCAATTATTAGGAGTAAAAGGGCAAAGAATTTCTCAACCCGTGGCAGCGTCAAACTGTGCCGTTTGGCCTGTCTGAACCAGCTTAGAGCAGCACCGGTAGCCTGGCAGGACACTAATGCTGAATCTTAGTTTCACAGAGTAATTTAAACAAAAAAATTGAGCTGTTTCTAGCTGAAGACATCAGCTTCACATAGAGGAAAAAAAACCCCACACAACTGATTTTGTTTTAAGAAACATAATGAGACAAGTTTGAGGGATTTTCTAGAAAATAATCAGGTTATCTTCAGTTCTTCAAAAGAGGTTTTTGGGGCTGCAGTGGTTTTTACTGGAAGAGAGTGAGAAAGGGAGAGACACCCAGAGGGCAGGATGGGGGCAATGCGTGTCTATGAGCATACCTATACTCACACACAAGAAGGGGGAGGAAGAAGCAATTAATTAATACACTTATTTGAAACAACCACAGTTCTGCTTTCCAGATGGAAGCCAGCGCAAATTTGTACTTCAGGCCCTTCCCTGTATGAAGTGTTAATGCACGTAAATGGTACAGTTCTTCACGTCTGACCATTATTACACAAGAAAACATCCTTTAAACCAGAGAAGACTTCCCCTCTCCACCCCTTGCGATGTTCGGATGATGGTTTGTCTCAACAAAGGGCTTGACTGTGAAGACAGGTGGCTCCCTCTAACTTTTTTGTTATTGACAAGCAGTAACCAGCTCCCAAACTAAGCAGTGACTTTATTTTATTGAAGTATGTCCAGTTATATTATCGCTAGAAACTATGCTGTATGAATACAGATGATGTTTTTACCTTTATGCAGACTTAGGACACCCTCAGCCCTCACTGTTTTCTTACTGTTACTTCCAGCATCTGATAAGTTTTCAGAGAAACTACATTTTGGTGCAGTCACTCTTCAGGTGGTGTCTCAATTTTCTTTCTTACATCAGGCTTTATTTTTGGTAGTTTTAAAATCAAACAAGTAAAGTAGGAATAAAAGAGAATAAATACCAAGTAGCACAAGTGAGACACTGATGTAGTTTGTGACTGTCCAAGCAACAAAATAAGAAATCAGTAAAATATGGGCTCCTCTACCTGCTTTCTGACATATGAAAAGCATTTTTCTCAACTCCTTGGGGAATTTCAGGTTCAGATTTCCGGCTTTTTTTCCCTATCCTGGGACGCTTTAAATGACTGCTTCGTGTCCAAACAGAAACAGGAGCTGTATTAGGATCTTAGGAAAAAACACAAAGAAAATAAAGTAAATGCAAGTGAACAAATGCTGTTTAAGATCTGCATATGATTTTTCTCCCTAATATTTCAGTAAAGAAACTGAGTGCAAGTAAACCACCATTTCATTGTGGTACCTTTTTTTCTGAGTATACGCGCATAATATCTTTACCAAGACTCCTAACAATTTTATCTGAAGTCCTCTAAAATGTTTGAGTTGAACCTCAGCACCTCAGAGGAAAGCATGTTTTTATACGGTTTGCAGATGAATATGCCAAGATTGAAACCATTAAGACAGCCTATTACTGCTACCCTATTAATCCACAGTAATCACAATACTGATAAACGAGGTTATTTTTACCTTTAGATGTGCTTGGATGGACATCTGATGATTCTTTACCTTTTTGAGACTCAGCCTGTAAAGCAAAAGCAAAGCTAATGTTATTCCAAAGACTTCTGAAGGGACTGACATACCTTCATCTCCCCATCTGTGGCTGCATTTTTCTAAAGCACTATTTCATAATAATGATGCTATGGAAGAGAAGCTACAACCATACTTACACATATGTATCTTATATCTCAGATTTTTTAAGTTATCTTTATTAAAAACATAAGTATTTTTTCTGTATTTTACTTCTGTCTTCAACATAGAAAAGACCTGAAAATAACCTGCCATTATAAACCCTACCCAACATATTTTCCTAACCATTCAATTTATAACAGGTGTCCACATAATTAAGTGCTAGAAGTTGGGGGTTTTTTGTTTGCTTCCCCATTCTGTATAAACCCAAGGACTACACTACAGTAGCTGAAAAGTTTATTTGTATTCTATTTTGTAGTCTTATTTTTATTGTGGCATGAAACAGAATATGGCAGCCCATACTAAAAAAAAAAAAAAATCAGACAAGAAAAAACTCCAGAACTTAGTGATTCAGCAACAATACAGGTTACATGCACAGTCATCACGAGGCTGCTTAAGTCAGCGTTCCTCCCCCTACCACTCTTTTGCTTCTGGTTCTTTCAATAATACCAGCATCCAGGTGTTCTGACACCTTTCCAGCCTCACTTTCAGTCCTACCCAGGAAGGCCAGCAAACAGTGGCCATACCTACATCCTGCTGCTAGTAATAGTTCAAAGTCAGTTTTAAACACCTAAGAATTTTTAGACTAATGACAAATTATTCTTGCATCAAAACACACGAAATAGGGAGCACTGAATGAAAGGTTAAAAATGAGACTTGGGGGATGTTTTTTCCTGGTTTGGGGGAAGGTGGGATATTTTATTTTGTTTGGTGGTCCAACAGTTTTCAAAGCATTGCAGAACTCCTTATAGACAGTGCAGACGCCAAGAAGAGAGCTGCCAGGAATTCCACCAAGCTATGAGGAGTTGGAGTGCTTTGCCATCTACCGTCTTCTGGAAGAAGGCAAGAGACAGGGCTTGAGTTCTTAATCCTTAACCTCACAGCAACAAAAATCATAACAACTATACTTCTGCTATCTTCTCCAAGTTTATCCATATACCTCTACAACCAAAACATGCACTTTTCATAACATTTTGCTGATGTGCTGGTTGTAGGTGGGATAGACCTGCTTTTCCTCACAATAGCTAGTATGAGGCTGTGTTTTGGATTTGTTCTGAGAATAATACTGATAACACACTGCTGGTTTTAGTTTTTGCTAAGGTATGTTTATATTAAGTCAAGGACTTTTTTCAGTTTCTGATACTGCACCTGCGTTCCCAACTTCTTCTCTACAAGATGCTGGGAGAGGACACAGCTCAGACAGCTGACCCAAATGACCAAAGGGGTATTTTTATGCCATAAAACATCATGCTCGGTA